AGATACTTCGTCTCCCAGCGGTCTCCCCGTATCATCATTATTTTTTATCACCTTATAACTCGTTTCGATCGAGTAGCGATCACCTCCAGAGCTAAAATGTGAATACAAATTTTATTAACAGGTTGTAGTTATTGTATGCAAAATGCGTAAGCAATTGGGCTCGTACATACCTTGCAGCTTCGCTGGGCCGGAAAACAAAGTCTGCGAAATTTTTGAGTATGTGTGTCTGTTGTAAGAGGGGCGGGAAGAGGGGTGGGGTGCGGGTGAAGGGTCGTAAAACGCGGGGGTGCTGGTGGAGGCTTGAGGGACGGTCGGGCGAGCGAAGGTCAGTGGAGTAGGGAGGGCTGGGGGTGGGTTAGGGGTGTACACTTCGTGCTAATTGTAGCAGTGCTAAATTTAGCTGCTCAAAAATTCGCAGAATTTTGTTTTCGGCCCAGTATCTGCAAGGTATGTACGACCCAGTTTGCTTACGCATCTTGCATATAATAACTACAACCTGTCAATAATATTTGTATTTCACATTTTAGCTCTGAGGATGATCGCTACGCGATCGAAACGATCATAAGCTGAATAAAAAGTATTGATACCAGACAATATCTTTATTTATTTATCAAGCTTTCATGGATTAAGCGACTGATTCTTCTGCCACATAAAGGAAATTTTGTGTAGTAAATAGCATGAGCTGAACTGGTCACGTACTCCGCTGAGGGCAGTGCACACGAGTGCTTGTAACGCGCCTCGCTGGTGCCTTGCATACTCGGTGGCTAACAGCAGGCGCGAATCCACGGGGACAGAAATTTCCCCTTCTAAAATTTGTTCACTAATTATTAATTCTAACTTGTCCCGAAACTTTCAAGCAGAAATATTTTCGGATAATAATTGAAACGAGTAAAGTCGTATCGCAGTATGAGCTGAGTGTAGCCTGTGACATTTTACAAAATCTGTAATATGACAGTTTTAATTTCCACTCTCAAAACTTGGCTTTGGATCCGCCCCTACTATCAGGAATGGATTGCAATCATCAAGAACAACCTGTGACACTCCCTGTGATGCAGTAGTTTTGTGCCATATTTGGAGCACGACCCACAATTTAAAACAAATGACGCACGGTTCCAGCTCATATACTCCCCATGGCCGCCACGTGGCCATAGATAACACGACAGATGAGCGTTTCAGTATCAGGGGTACGGCGGAGGATGATAATATTACGGAATAACGTTTCCCAAGGCCTTCGTCCCCAGTTAAATATCCATGGTATTTGTATATTTAATGTTGCAGTACAAGCCACTACATCCCCAATCCCGTATGTGCCTCTTAATCAAATTCCAAGACCAGGGCTTCCTGACTTTGGTTGTAAAATCCCACTCTCCTCATTTGTGAGTAACGCAGTTCCAATTATTCAGAAAACAATTAGCTAGACTTGTGATCTAGACGTGTTGCCCCCCCCCCTCCCCGTGGATCCGCGCCTGCATCAAAGTTATCCGGTGTCACGTGGACGTGTGGAACTGGAAAGTGTGTCATTACAGAACACTCCTGATCATTTGCGACTGGTATGGAATTTTTTTGGTGGTGCCAGTTAGTGACAAAAACATGATGATCAAAATTATTCCATCGATGTTAATAAAACATCGACCAAGAACCATCGATGTTTTTAAACATCGACGTGATGTTTTAAAACTGGTTTAGTAATTTTTATATTGAAATTCGTGAGCGACAAAATTTAATTTTACAGAGACCATGTTTACTACGTTATAATGAATATTAAACTGAAAATAAACACAATATAATATGTACAAATAAAAATACTCAGCCTGAAAGCCTGAGCTCCGTCAGTAATCTCAAGAGGTCACAGCTTCCTGAGTTCGCAGAAGAAGGGTACGGGAAGAATGGAGAAAACTATATGCCAACGGCATACGCCGCCTCTCCATGTGCGAAACACAAAGAAAGACGTACACAACAGAGCGAGACACAACGAAATATCAGAGCATCGGGGTCATCCTGAGCAAGAGATACTCTGTGCGAGGAAGATTGTGCCATTCGTGCACTCTATAGAGGAAAACGTGAGCTTCTGTGTCAGAAGGAATGTGACACGGTTTCGTCCGTAAGAGATGCATAGAAATCTATACAGCGTTTTTCGTACAGTGTTAAATGGCCATAGACAGTGCCAGTTTGTAGATGGCTCTGAGGTTCAGAAAGAGGTCGACAGATAGTACCACCCCAAGTAAAAGAGTATTGAAAGGGCATTGAAAGACTAAGCGCTCGTTCAAATGTATTTCTATTAAGAAATATTTGAAGAAATATTTTATACATATGTGTGTGGTGAATATTTGATTTCCCTTCCTGTTTGTTGGTGGTGCCTTAGCACTGTGACACTACCCTACACGCCGCCAGTGCTCCTGACCCTGTGTCGCGTGTGAGAGATCGTTTGTAGTATGCGTAGCAGCTAAACCCGTCCGCCTTGGCGACGCTCGCGCGCCACGCGAGAAACACCGGAAGCTCTTTGTCCTGCCGCGCCGCGCCGCGCCGCGCCGGTTTCCTATTTGGAAAGGAGCTTCGGAGGTGAGCAAGGTTACGGTCGCAGCCTATTCCCACGAAGAGAGACCCGGCAATTCCCAGATTCAACCTTCTGAATAGCGGTATATCAAGTGAAATGTTCTAGCGCAGCGCTCGCGACATTGGGAGAACAATGCCAGCAGGAAGCGTACTTAGAGATACGGAAGTGAAGTTTTCTGCCTCCACTCCAAATATTGTAATGTGGTGTTGGGTAGAAGGATTGTCCGTTTTATTCTTTTGCTTTTTCAGATTTTCTTTTGACAATCG